AACCTTGTCGGCGCCACTTTTACGACCCATCCTATATTTCCCCCCATTTCCTCCTCCCCTCATCACACCAGGGTGTCAAACGTTATGTCAAAAGTTATATCATTCTGATAGTAATACATTCGAGGGGTCCTCACTTTTATTGGGAACATTTGGAACATTCGAGAAACATGATGAGAAGCGAAATTAAACGGGGAACCGGGGTATGTGCGCCAATCAACGACGAATCTCATTAGCTTCTTCATTCAATCTTAACGGATGCTTGAATGGACAGAAGAGAACGGAGAGAGCGAGAAGTTCCATCAGATGAGCGATAGGGGTTCTTCAAGAAACTTGGTTTTTTCAAGTTGATATTTTTAGAGAAATCGGGAATTTCTAATTACAGTACCGGTCATAAGACAGTGGATTATCGTCCATTTTGACCTATTCCAGGAGTCTGGAACACGGCTGTCAAGTTTCCGATCACTTTGACAATTGTGGAGGATGTAAAACAGACCTAAATTAAAAACTTTGCATTTCCAGAATTTTTTGAAAATCCCTAGTTTTTCTGCAATTTGTCGATTTCTGAAAGACACCTGTTTTTGCAAGTTTCCAGTACATAAACAGGCCAAAAAAAAGGTGTCTTCCAGAAATCGGCAATCCTCAAAGACACATGTTTTTTCAGGTTTTCAGTAAAAAACGGGAAAAATGGGTGTCTTTTAGAAATCGGCAAAAAAGTAGGAATTTTCAAAAAATTCTGTGAATGCAAAGTTTTCAATCTAGGTCTGTTTTACACTCTCTCTTATTTTCAAAGTGATTGGAAACTAGATATCCAAGCTCCAGACTCCTGGAAAATGATGAAAATTACATATCATAAAAGATTCCATTCTTACAATTTGAGTTTGAAAATAAAACGGTTTGGAGCTCTGAAAAACTAGTAAGAGGATCAATATGAAATCAAACAAGTTATTGTGAAAGCTAGACTCTTATGTTAGAGCTAAACTTGCCAATTTCAAAAAGTGGAAAATCACAAAAAAAATCAAGTTTTTGAAAATATTTTCTGAAAAGACTATTTGGACAATATAAGATTATTAGGCAAGTGTGTGACGTTTCAGATCTACAGTGGGCAGACAAGCGGCCTATCCATTTCCGATGCTCTAGGAAAAACGATGATAGGTGTACGACGAAAAACTACAACAACAACAAAAATAGGACGAGGTTTTAGTTCTTAAGCGCAATTGAAAGAAGGCAAGAGATGAATCTAATTATGACTACTCGCTTCTCTATTTCTCGTCGTCTTCTGTGTGCATGTATGCCGGCGGTGGCATGTACATGTCGATGATGAGCAATGGTGACAACGACAACGACAACGGCGGCGGAAGGAAGGAAGGAAGGATGAAGACAACGAAAAGACTTCAAATGCTCATAGAGGATCTTGATGGAAATTTTTGCCGAGAAAAAATATGATGACAGAGGGAAAATAGGGGGAGGGGAATTTAGGAAGTTCAAATTGTGAAGACTTTGAAAATGTTGATATGGGAAGAATATTTGGCTTAGAGAAATTCTTAAAGGCGCATTTAAAGGAGCATGTATTTTCGGTTTTTCAATAAATTCCATCAGTTTTGAACTGTTTTCAAAACCGAAAGTTTGCAAAAAAAAGTTGCATGTAAGCTATGGAAATTATTGAATAATTGAATAATAGACCAGAGAATGATTAATACATGCTCCTTTAAATGTGCCTTTAAGGATTTTGTTAACGGACCTAAGCTCCGCCCACTTTCAAATTTTCGGGCTTATTGAAATTACGCCAGATACATTTACAGGGGAGAATCCCAAACTTAATTATAGGATCTCTGAAAAAATGATAGAACCTTCTTCCAAGCTTCGTTTCCTCTAGAAAAGTCATAATCAGTACTTCAGATACCTATCGTGAAACCTGCAACAGAAGGGTTCTCAAACTGTCAGGTTTGAGCTCAATTACCTCGATTCCTGTGAAAGGTATCAAAAAGTTGGCAACGGATAAAAAACTTGCAGTAAAGTAATCAATATTTCATCAGTTGACAAATTTGATATCTTTATCAGAAATCGAGATATGTGGGCTCAAAGTTGACAGTTTAGGTGGGCTTCTATTAGAGGGAATACGGTATTTTTGATGTCTGAAAACCCGGACAAACAACGTTTGTAAACCATTAGGCATGAAAACGAAACGGTAATGTCATACCACAATATGAAAGAAATCACATCCACAATAGTAAAAAAGGGGTAACAGTCACACATACAGTACTTTAGTGAAACCGACGCCCACTTGAAACAGTGGAATTACAAACTAGCAGGCAGAGGAAGAATAGGGGGGAAATCTGGCTAATAACTGTCAATGGCAAAGTGAAACGGAAAGAGAGTAAGGCTTTTACTCAAAATACGTCAATTAAATAAGAAAGAAGGGTGGAAAACGGGAAGCCCCTTCTTATTCCATCTTCATCATCCCGTTCCAAACCAATCTGGCGCATTTTTCGGGAACATTTATTGTTTGCGCCTATAGCAGCCACCCCTTCAATATATCATTTCGACCAATCTGGTCATCCGGATGCTGCATTCCACACAATTATCCTTCCTGTCACTGAATAGTTAGCGTAATAGTTTGGTAATATGGCGGTAACTTGAGTGTGTGGTCCTATTGACAGTTAGAGTTATCAGTGGTGATGGGAGTATAGTGATAAAGATGGGGAGGACTGGAACGATAGTATCAGATAGAAAAAGATAGTAGACAATTTTTTGAGGGGAGAGAATCTTGGAAGAGGAGAGGAAATTTTTGAAAAAGTGTGGGAATTGAGCAATAAAAATGGAGTGTTGGTGGGAAGACGTACGGTTGAATGGAAATTTATATTTTATCTGAAAACTTCGAATTTGCGAATTTCGTTATTATTCATCATGGATTGTGAAAAAGAAAGACAACACTCTAATAGAAGGATCTTCAGCTTTGAGACAGATTATCTCGTCTCCTATGTAAGATATCGAAAATGTGTCAACTGATAAAATGTCGAGCATTTAAAAAAAAAACATTTTATCAGTTGACCACTTTTTGATATCTTTCACAGCAATCGAGATAATTCTGCTCAAAGTGTTCAACTCATTAAAAAAATTTGTTTTGGAACTGAAAAGGGTTTTCAGAAAATGAAGGATAATTCATGGAAACTGAACGTGAAACAAAAAAAAAAGAAATAATGGGAACGGTAAAAAAGTGGATCATTTTAAAGATCTGAAAATATAGGTCACGACCTAGATTGTTTTAGGTCACGACCTAGATTTTTCTAGGTCACGACCTATATTTTTTCTAGGTCATGGCCCAATTTTTTCTAGGCCATAACAACTTTTCTAGGTCACGACCTATATTTTTTTAGGTCGCGACCTAGATTTCTTTAGGTCATGACCTAGATTCCTTTAGGTCTTGACCCTATTTTTTTAGGTCATGACCCAATTTTTCTAGGTCACGAACTAGATTTTTTAGGTCATGACCCAATTTTTTTTAGGTAATGACCCAATTTTTTATCTGGAATGTCTAGAATTTTCAAAAAGAGACAAATTGAAAAACATCCGGATGCCGAAGATCCTGAAACCTCAAAATTGTCATTGCATACTTGTAATCCGGGCTTTTGCCGGGCTTTCGCGGGCCCTGCCATAATTTCTTTCAGAATCTATATTTTTGAACCAACTAAATCAGATATGATAGAGCTCCACGAGTACTACAAAACGGTATTATTTGGAATACTGTATCTTGTCTATGAACAAAGTCACAGATCATAAAGTGGCTTTTTTCGCAGGGCCCGGCATGCCCGGGGCGGGCCTGCGTTTTTTTGCTCCTTTTGCCCTGTAACTCTGTTCATAGACAAGATACAGTATTCCAAAAAATACCGTTTCGTAGTACTCGTGGAGCTCTATCATACCTGATTGAGTTGGTTCGAAAACATTGATTCTGAAAGAAGTTATGGCAGGGCCCGCGAAGGCCCCGGCAAAGGCCCGGATTACAAGTATGCATTTTTGTATTTAAAAAACCACACAATTTTTGTTGTGAACTATTTATTTTTTTACAATACTTTTTCTTTCTCGATTACAAAAGTTTCTGAAAAAAGATTACTGTAATTTACAGTGCCCTTTTCAGTATTTGTAACCAGTTCAACAACAAAAAAAAACTTTTCTTGAGGGGACGGAGAAGAATCTGGGAGTCAAAATATTTGAGAAAAAAGGGGAAGGATTCCAAAAAAAATTCTGTAAGAAAATTTTTTGAAAAATCGAGGGGGAGGGGACAAAATAAAAAAGGACCTTTTTGAAAGGAAATTTGTTTGGGGGGGGGGGGGAGCAATTGGGAGGAAACCGATGAATGTATTTTTGGAGCGAGTTGGGAAAGAAAGATGTTTTTGGGATTTTTTCACAGAATTCAAAGAAAAAGTTACAGGGAAAAGAGATGATGAGCATTTAAAGAAACTAAGGCTTCCATTAGATCGGGAAATCTAGCCGACCGACCGACCACCGACCTCGCCGACCGACAGCCGACCGAGCTGACCGATCGGGCGCGCCGTGCATTTGCGCGTCAACGTGTTTGCATACGCAGCATTGTATTTTACGACAAACTGTACACGAAATGCGTCGTTTGTCGTAAAATGAACTGCTACGTACGCAATAGCACAAAATCGGTCAGCCCGGTCGGCTGTCGGTCGGCGGTCGGCGATTTTCGACCGAACGAAATGGAAGACTTTAAAGAAACAGATAAGAAAGATTAAGAACAAAAACTGGAACAAAAAAAAATAATTAAAGGCAAAAAAATGAGTGGAACAGATTGGTGAAGGGATCATTATGGCAAAAGAAAATCTTTGAATTTTTTTGGAAAACGTTATTCTGGGTTGGACTTTTTTTTGCGGATTTTCAAAAGTTTTCGATTTTTTTGGGAGTTTTGTTAGAAAAGCAAAGAACCAAAAATATGAAATAAACGATGAAAAAAAGAAAGGGTAAAAAATTGGTTTAAGTTTTGTTTAGTTGCCCATCGGCATGAACGGCAGACGACCGTATTTCTCGTCGATCGGCACTTTGTCCAGCTCGGCGAACAACTCCAGCTCGTGATGACTTCGGTAGCTGCTGTCCAAGTTTGCTGAAATTGTTTTATATGAATTTTGAGATGTGGGAACTAATGACTACTGTAAAACTTGTAAGCGTCCCACACTGTCAAGTTGGAGCTCAATTATCTCGGCTCCTATAGCAGATATCTATACTAGGTCGACTGATAAAAGATGAGTGATTTTAAGATAAGCAGTTTACTAGTTACCCCTTTTTCATATATTTTACAGAAACCGAGATAGGTTGGCTTAAAGTTGAACGTTAGGGACTCTTCTATTAGAGGTTTTAGGATAATTTTGTAAATTTTGCATCAGTTTACCTTTCACAGAAACCAAGATGAATAGGCTCAAATTTGAAAGGTGAAAGGTGCCGTTCTATTAGAGGGTTTATGGTAAAAAATCAAAAGGTTTTCTTGTCAAAAAAATAACCCTTTATAACCACTTCTAGAAATTCCTATAATTTGATTTCAACATGGTTTCTGAATTTTCAGCACATCACAACAATCAATTCTAATAATTCAAAACGTACAGTTGACCCGCCGCACAAGATCACGAAGTAAATTCTTGGGAACCGCATCCGACTCGCGAACCCGTTGAAGATACGGACCGAAGACGATGTCGTCGAGCGGCAGGTGCGGTGTTGGAATGAAGTACTCGTGCATTACTGGAAGGATTTTCAGTTTTGCAGATATTTGAAAATTTTATTCCAGGAAGTGATAAAGCAGTTTTAGAGAATCAATATGAAATTGAGTCGAAGCCTAGATAAATGCACATTACGCTCAATTATCTCGGTTCATAGGAGAGATATCAAAAATCTGTCAACTGAAGAAATATTATTGGTATTATGACAAAGAATTCATCAGTTGAAAATGTTTTGCCATCTTTCAAAGGAACCGAAATAATTGAGCTTAAGGTACGCGTATAGGAATGGGCTACCATTAGAGAAAATCAGGTATTACAGGTTAGTTGTTTTCTAAAGACTATTGTTAAACTCTAGTATTTTCCCGCTTTTCCCTGTACCCCTTAAAACTCACATTGTTCAACGACGTCTCGATTTGAGAGCGGATCTTCCTCTTCTATCGACTCCACATCCTCCTCTTCCGGAACATCTGGTGGCATTGTCTTCTGATCCGGAATGACCGGTGTCACTAGCTGCCACTTGATTGGTGTTATCAGTTCGATACCATTAGCTGTCCTTTGCACTATCACTTTGCAGTCTTCCGACTTGTTCAATCGGTTTCTGACGAATGCTGGAAGGAACGGGCAGGACGCTGCTTGATACAATCTCATATCACTACAACATGGCGCCAAACAGAAGAACTCCTCATCTGTCAGATGTTTTCCTTGTGTGCGATTCCGGCAAGAGATCTTTTTCTCATCGAACATCTTACTGTCAGACGTCGTTGGATGATCTCGTTCAATCATTTCTTCCAGTGACATTCTCGGGAAGATATCCTGATCTGATGTCATTTTCAAAGAAGTTCTGACTGGATCCGTAAATTGCTCCAATTTGAAGTTGGTGACCTCTCCTGGATGTAGACATGAGATGAACTCCCATTTATTCGGGTAGTGTGGTGCGCTTTGTGTTGGGATTGGGTCAGAGAGTCCGGAGCACGAAGCGACTTCCTCATCAGCGCTAGTAGACGACGCACAGGAGATGGTCTCTTCTGAATCTGACGCCAATGTGGAACGAGTAGAGATGGTCTGTGTTGGAGAGACTGGTGTTGCTGGTGGTGTTGTTGATTCTGCTAGAATGGCTTGAACGCGACGATCAATCATATTCTGAATCATATCGCTCTCCATAAGATTCTGAACTGCCTCTGCAACTCTTTCTTGAACTGCACAATCGATACTGGATTCGATTGTACGCAGGGTGTCTTCAAGTGAGTGGAGTTTGCTGGTGAGCTGAAAAGATAGGCAAATTATTGTTCAGAATGTTCGTCTGGCTTTTACTGTAATTAGCTAACCAAGCCTCTCAATTAGGCGTTTACCAAAAACCCTATAATTATTGCTCATCCCCTGATGCACCTGTCTACCTCAGGCATTACATCACCCCCTTCTTTCCATACACCCGCTCTTCATAATCCTCTTCTTCCAACTGACCAATTATCTCGCTAGAGGGGACGCACAGAGACCATCACCTCCTCTTCATTATCCGATCGGTGTCAGTAATCCCCTCTTTTATAAAAGAAGGAGGAAATGTGTAGGAAAGTACATAACGTGAACAGATTGGACAGTAGAGGACGGTTATCTCGGTAAAAGAAGGGGAAGGTGGTAGTGGTCTAATAATTAACAAGTGTGTACTTAGAGAGGGTGGTTAGCAAATCATAAGACCTAGAAGGATGCTCTGGCAAAGTTTTAAGCTTCAGAAGGTGAAAGAAGAGAGTGTGAGGTTCAGGAAAGGTCTAGAAGACTCCAGAAAGCATCAAGATGGTCCGGAAAAAAACCCCGAAATTTTTAAGACTGTCTAGAGTCCCTAAGATAGGATCCTAAATTCATTCAGAAAATTTCTTGGACCGCTTCTGAAGTGCCAATAGGACTGAAGACATTTCTATAATCATGAAAAACAGCCAGAAGAGTTTAAGACAGAAACTACCTGGAGGCCTGAAGCTGAAACTGGAAAGCTGAACCTAGAAATCTAGAAAGAAGCTCTGGCGAAGGTCAAGTTCAAGCTTCCAGAAGTGAGAGAAAGTCAGATGAGGTTCAAGAAAACTCCAGAAGGATTCAGAAAGTATCGATAAGATGCAGAAAAATCGTTATGGGGGGATTCAGTACCTGGAGTACCGAAGACAAGATCCTAATATCATTTAGAGGACTTCTCGAACCGCTAAAAACTTCTAGAGCTATCTGGATACTCCAAAAGGACACAGAAGAATTCAAGACAGATTTAACTCAACCAATGTCTTCCCTGGACCCTATTCCTACGATCCAAAGGCTAGCTACCAAACCTTTTCACTTTTTTCTTTTATCAAGTCCCCCCTCAAACATATGTCTCAAGGCCTGGCTATGCGGAAAAAATCCGCCGTGAGAAGGGAGAAGCATGATCGGAATGCGGAATGAGATAGGTATTTCGCGCAATAGAACCTTACAGATTGGCGCAGTAGATTAAGAGAAGGACAAAATGTAGTGCTGGAAACTGAAACTCACCAGGCGTTCAAACTTGTAAGTCATCAAGCTGCGATTGCTGATCTCACGAGGCTTCTGAACCTGGTGCTGATGCTTTTCCGGGCGACGGTTTGGACGCGAAGAGTCGAGTTGCATGGCTTCTGGAAAGTTGTTGGAAAGGTTAGAAGCCGTTAAAAGAAGTGAAAGAAGAAGGAGAAGAAGACGTGGCAACCAAAAAAAGAAGAAGAAGAGGAACGCGTCGAGAGAGATCGAGAGAAACGAGAGGGACGGCCGCGCGTGCGTTGCGTTGGGTGGACACGATGCGTATAAACAATCGAGCGAAGCGACGAGAGAAGCGACGAGAGAAGCGCAGAATGCGGGGTGAGCAATGGATAGAACACGAGAGAGTGGTTAGAGAAATCGAGAGAGATTGGTGTGGTCGATAGAAATGAATGAATGCAAATACCGATATGTTAGGAAGGAGAGGGGAAAAAAGGGGAATGCAGAAGAAGACGAAGAAGAAGAAGAGGACGGAAAGCGACGCGGCAAGCGCGGGCCGAAAGTGTTGGTGGGGGTAAAAAGAAGGAAAAGAGAAGAAAGAAGAAGGAGAAGGCACTGATAAAAGGAGGAGGGGGTACTTGTGTATATACGAATTGGTCTCTCTCTCTCTCTCTCAGCACCAGCCGGGATGGCTGAGGTAAATGAGAGAGAAAATGAGATGCGGAAAGGGAGGAGGAGGTGTATATTATATGAATGTTTCGGAAGTTTAATAGGGTGTTGGAAAATGGAGATTACTGTCACTAGTAGTGATTGGGAGAGACATCTCCCATAAAGCACGGGAGTAGAGGGGAAGGAGGATCATGAATCTGGAAGAGGGAAGACTACGGTAAAAGTGCAAGTTAAGTCTTAAGAAGGGTTGGAACTGCTCAGAAAAGAATTTTGAAATATAATTTTTGAACTTGACTTATCTTTTTAACTCGATAAGTACACTAATAAAAGTGGATCTCCGATTTTATGAATGGCAACTACTAATAGCCACTAATAGAAGCCTAACTCAAACCCTTAAACTTGGATCCCATATATCTCAGTTCCCGTGACAGATATCAAAATTTTGTCAACTGATGAAATATTGGTGATATTATGATAAACAATTTATCAGTTGACAACTTCTTCATGCCTTCCACAGGAAACGCGACAATTGAGCTCAAATATGGAACATAAGGTCCGAACTTGCTCAAATTGATTGAAATTTTCAAAAAGGCCAGCTATGAAAGTGGAAGCTTAATCAGATTGGAAATGTTTACAGGAGGATCTTTCAAATAGTAGATTTGAACTTCTCTTTTTTTTTTTTAACTTGATAGTTCTTATCGAATAAAACTAGAGCTATGTTTCTGTAGACGACAGTTGCCGTATTCGCTCTAATAGATCTCTCCGTGCACTTTGAGCTCAATTATCTCAATTTCTCTACGAGAAATCAGCGTTTTGTCAACTGATAAAATGTTGGTTATACTATGATACAAATTTTATCAGTTGACAATTTTTCTGATATCAATCACAGGAATTTAGATAATTTAGCTCACAGTAAGGTGCGCTTCTATTGGAGTCACTACGGTATTTGATAAGGATTCATTTTGTTTCCCAATTTGATTTTTTTCAGGAAAATAAAAAATAACACATTTTTCAAAGTTATTTTGAGTTGAAAAATGTCTAGCTATACAACTACAATGAAAATAGGAAAAATTTGAGAACTCGACAAACAACAAAAATCACAGAATACGATTTTGAAAAAAAAACAGCGAATTCACAAGTGACTATAAAGATTTTCTGAAGATTTTTTATATATGGGGGAGTACTGTAGTTTGATATATGGGAAAGTCGTCGTTCCCAAAATTCATATGCTTTGTGGGATTTTATCAGCCACATCATCTTTGAAGAGTTCCACTTCCTGATTGTAAATAACCTACAAGCTTTGAGCTCAACTATCTTGATTCCCATGAGAGATATCAAAAATCTGTCAACTGATGAAATATTGGTGATATTATGATAAATAAATTATCACTTGGAAATTTGTTGATATCTTCTGAAGGAACCGAGATTCGATTTTCAGATACGTCCCCAATAAATTCCATTTACTTTAACAAGGCTAAGCAGAGAAGCATAAAGAGAATAAAAATAAGACATATCCCTGAGCCGTTTATTTCGAAAAACTAAACACAAATGGCTTCCGTCCGTTGTCCGCGCGTCGCTCGCCCGCTCTCTCGTTTCTCTGCGTCTTAGCTAAAGAATCTGATCTCTCGTTCGACATGCGTTGGCAAAATGAGGGGGAGGTGTCCGAAACGCGGGACGGAAAACATCGGAATCAGTTCATTGGAGTTTGATGGCAGGGTTTTATAGTTTGGATTTTTTTGTTTTGCAAAGGTTGATTTTTTGGAAGCTGGGAAAGGGGGAAGAGATGTTGAAGGAGATTTAGCAAACCAATTTTGATATATCTTAGTCTGTAAATCGGAATATTCTAGAGTTTGGAACCCAAACTTTGGGCTAATGTGTAAATATCTCAAATGGAAACCCCCTACATTTCGAAAATCCGCGCATTTACTGCTTCTTTTTCTCTGCACCTCTACTCTCTCTTCTGCGTGCAAATGGAGCGCGCTTGCATTTTTTGATTTTTTACAAAGAGACCCCGCAAATTCCGGGGAAACAAAAATCGGGGAAAAAAAAACCGGGGAAAGTGGGCGGAGTCGAGAAAAACCGTGCGGCAAAACCGTGCCAGGGTTGCATTTTAGGCTCCGCCCCTATTCCCCCTCATTTTGCCAACGCATGCCGAACGATATATTGGGGTCTCTTTTACAAAAAATGCAATTTCTGAAAGCTATTTTTAAAAGAAAATAAATATTTTTCAGCTAGAAAATGAATATAAGCGAATGGATAGAACAATCAAGAAGTGTTTTCAAAGCTCAACTTGACACAAAAATCAAAATTATCGGCATAGTGAGTGCAAAACTGATCCGAAACTTTTAAAACATAAAAAATAAATTTTCAGATAGGCAAAGATTATCCAGATCATGGGAAAGGAGACAACATAAACTGCTATTTGAGGGAGAATGTGTTTCCAGTGGCCACATCTGACAATGAGACTTGCACGGTAATCATAACTTAATAATCAAACATTTGTCTGAAACCCGTATTACAGATTTTCGCTCATTTCTCTGAAGACGAGCAACTTCTATTCTTGGTGCTGAATGGTGTGGATGACGTGGCTAATCTTCGGAAGTGCATGGAATCCGAATCGAAGAACTATTTCGAAGCGATGGCTGAGAGCGAATCTCAGCAAATGCGGCTCCTTCATTTCCTTTTTATCTCCTGTCACTTTATTGTAATCTTCGAGCAAACTTCTAGAATCGATTTGGAATTTATTAGATTTTTGAAGAAAGTGAATACATTGAGGTGCGAATTTTTCAGAGTTTTTTTTTGAATAAAAATAGTTTCAAATCGGATTTTCAGGTCGCTAAATCGGAGAAAAGTGAGCCAACGACTTCGTGACGTGGATTTCGATTTTGATTCAGATGGCCGCTTGACGGTCCCGTATGTTTTGATGGCTTTTCAGCGAAATAATATACGGACTGACACTAATATTACGAAAAAGGTACAGGAAAATTGCTGACGAAAAAGAAAATCACCCAATTTTTCGAGAGTTTTCAGAGAGAACTCTACGAGAAGCTCGAGAAGAATCTGGACCATCAGCTAACAGACATTCTCAAATTATACGATCTAACTGGCTCTGGGAATTCCGCTTTGTGCCAGCTTAGCGAATCACTTCAAGTCGTTCACCTCCTGAATCCAGACAGCGTTAAAAGAGACATCATCACGGAGATGTTTGATATTTTTATGGCTGAAGCTGAAAATGGAAACGTGGCAAGAGTGGCTGCAAATCACAAGCTAACCAGCAACAACGCGTTCGTCAGATTTTTGGAAGATCGATTTCGAGCGGAGAAAAACGAAATTTCACTGAACATTGCTATCGATATGTTAGAAGCTCTACAGTTTGTGCTCGATGGCTCGCTAGAAGAGAAACCAGAAAGTTTGAGATCTCAGACACAGACTTTTATAAAAAGAATTCAATCGGATCATATGGAAGAGGCTAGGAGGTTGTATACAAATGAAACACGACCCGTGTCTGGAGAGAGGAGGGGAGGTGGATTCAGAATCACAGAACAGGAGACAATGGATCCATCGGTGAAAATTCGAAGTAAACAGGAGCATTTGATTAGGGTAAGTGGAGGAAATTCAGCAAAATGAGATGTTTTCTTGCTAATTGGCTTTCAGTGTTCACAGGGTTTGAACTGCTGTGGTATGTTGTTGCGCTTTTTCGGCCTTTAGGAATTCAACTTTTTCACAATGTTTGGTTGATTTCGCTCTTAAAACTTCGCCACGTCACATTCTCATTAGAGCGCAACAGCATACCACAGTAGTTTGAACTCTGAAAGCGTGCTCAAAGAAAAGGGGATAAATTTAAATATTGAAGAATTGATTCACAAAAAAAGAAAGGCTAAAAATCGCTATTAATTAAATCAGTCCTGAATATTTGCTCATTTGAAGGCGCAAACGAAAAAACTGATAAAGTTCAAAATTTGGCGCCATAAACGTTCTGAAGGAGGGATAAGAGAGATGAAAAGAGTGTGTATTGTCGGCAGAAGAACGAAAAAATGGGCGTGGTCAATTTATGGGTTATGTAGAGAGTCTGTGTACTCAAAGGGCATCGCAAATAAGGATACTGTAGAAATGGTTTATAAAAGTATGAGCAATTCTTTAAGCGGCAAGGGGGTACTGTAGAAAAATGGTTTATTTTCCAGTTCAACGAAGCCACGTGCTACATCGAAACCGTCGTCGGAATCAATCAACAAGAAATCCTCTCCCAAGTCCAGACACAATGCAATGATATGTGGCAATCCGACTTGCGTGCCTGCGAATCGATATCCATGATGGGTCATCCATGTGTCAAGAAGGTCCATCCCACCTATGGAGATCAGACGGTTCCGGAAGCCCGATGGACCGCCCATGACGCCTCGAACACACTGGTCTCTACGTGTGTCTGTGGAAATAAACAGTTGGTTCGACAGGAGCCCTTCACCTTAAAAGAAGCGAATTTCGATTTTTACGAACATCCAGATTTCAATTGTTGTAAGGGGTTATGGAGATATCAGTTCCAGTTGTATCAGGAGGATACAGAGGAGAAGGATGTGAGTTTGAGAACTGGAACTTTTCGGGCTACTTCAATTTCTTTTTCAGGATATCATGTGGGCAGACCGCGAGTCCAACTCTCTTCGTGCAGCTAAGAAAATGGCCCAACGAGAAGATGAGTTGGCAGTGGAGCTAGACGACATGGAACTTCCAGAAAGTCTTCAACAATCCTACACATCATCTGAAGACTCTTCAGAAGACGATGACGACTTTGCCATTCAGACTGCAAGCTCTGAAGACTCATTGTCCGGATCGGACTCCTACGCTCGGCCCGGCAGTCGTCGTGACGAGTTTGAATCTTCTAAAACAGCAAGAGACATGGCTGTCTACTTTGCGAAACGGATACAAAAGCTGGAAAAGTTGGAGAAGATGGACGACTTCTTGATGGGCGTTCCGAATACGTTGACGATTGGGAAGCTTCCGATGTTCCCATCGTTTTTCTTGACATCGCTAGGAGAGAGTAATCTTTACAAGCACGGAGCAGGGCTAAAAAATCAGCCGAATTTCAAATTGGGTGGAGAGTATTTGACGCCGGCAGTGGTGTTTTTAGATGTACGTTATTGCTTCTTCAGTAGTTTACGACCGAGTCTTGCCGTATTTTCTTCAATAGAAGCCCACCCAGCCCGTCAACTTTGAGCTCAATTATCTTAGTTTCTGTAAAAGATATCAAATTTTTGTTAACTGATAAAATATTGGTGATATTCTGACAGATAAGTTATCAGTAGACAACATTTTGATACCTTTCACAAGAATAGAGATAATTCAGCTCGAAGTTGACGCCTTATGTAGGTTTCTATTGAAGGAAATACAGTAACCTATGCAACGTGGCGTTTCTCACATCGAAACCATATATTTCCAGGTCGATCTTGACGTCTGGTGCCGTGACCTTGTCAAATTCCGCACTGACGACTACACCCGACGAGGTACCAAGGATCTGAAAGACGACATGCCACGTGTCAAACTATTCGTCGGTTTCGAATACGAGTGCTCTCGAGGTCATCGCTTCTTTGTCGATCATAACGGCGAGCCGTTGATCTATCCACGCAACGTCAACGTTCTAAAAGAGTCCTCGGCTCGCGCCTCACTTGGCAACATCCTGAACGCTGATTTGCCTCTTCGTCGCCCGTGCACTTGCCGAAAGCCACCTCTGAAATCTGCACAACTTCAGAAGATCCACGTGGTGACGCCAAAAGCGCCAGTGAAGATCACCATTGATCCGAAGATTCTCGTACCGGGACACGAGGGAACGTATGGAACCGGACAGGAGCCATTGGAACTTCATCATTCAAAGTAGATCAAAATTTCCGGGATTCAGAAAATGAAGGGTTTATTTCAGATACTATATCCTTCACCTGCCAGTGGTCTACAGTGGACCATCAGGAACATGGATGCCGGGAGAGTACAATTCAGAGCGAATGGGAACGCTCAAGGGTGGATCCATCAAAGTCGTCTACAAGCCTGTGATGCCATTTAGGTGGTGAAACGCCATTTAGGTGTTGTAATAATTGATTTTTTTTTGATTTTATTGTTTTTTCTTGTACTGGTATTTATTGCTTGTGATGTCATGAAACTTTTCGAATTGGAAATTCCGCAAAGAAGTTTTTTAACCATCCCTCCCTCTTCTATAGTGTAGAACTAGAAAGAACTAAAAAGGTGGCTCAGATGTTTTATAATTGAAAACGGGCGGTCCCCTTCTCTCCTTCAACAAAAATGCTCTCACACTGATTGATTAGGCAAATGCGCTTCTGTTTTTGGCTCGGAGAGGAGAGGATTTCCTCTCCTCTTCCAGTCAACCAAAAAAAGAAAACACGATACTAAACCAGTATTTTTCTAGGTCATCACCCCCTTCCTTGCAATCCAATCACACTCCCTCCCTCTCCATTTAGGACCCTCCCAGTAGTCTTGGGGGCTGAAAAAAACAGATGAAATGAGGAGAAGTTGTTCCACTCGGTTTGGTTTGATGGCTCGAAATGAAAGCTGATCCATTTTTTCTTGTTTTTTGGAGAGAAATTCATCTTTTGGACTTTTTTGGAGGAAAGAAGACTACAATGAATTTTATATTTAGAGCTGCAAAATTTTTCCGATCAAAAGGTTTACAATATTACTTTGGTCTAATTTCAATACGAGTTACGGCCGAAAATCGAGAGTGGGCGGAGCTTAGGTTCGGTAGTGAAGTCCTTAAAGGCGCATTTAAAGGAGCATGCATTGTTTGTAATTATTTTTTGACCGATTTTTCGATGAATTTTAATGATTTTTCAATAGTTTTCATTGTTTTATGCGATTTTATGGCTCCGCGTTACTTCGAAACCGCGACATTTCGAAACCGCGACATTTCGAAACCGGTCATTTCTAAACCGGTCATATCGAAACTACTAAATTTACAATCTGTAAATTTGACTGGTTTCGAACTGACTGGTTTCGAATTGACTGGTTTCGAAGTGACGCGGAGCCGATTTTATGCTATTTATGAACTTAAACAATTTTTCTTTTTTTCACACAAAACCCGAAAAATCGCAAAACACCGGATAAAACAATGAAAACTGTTGAAAAATCGTAAAAATATACCTGAAAATATCTTTTAAAAAACATGCGCTTTTAAACACGCCTTTAATAATTGCGCTACCGGACCTGAGCTCCGCCCACCCACGAATTTTCGGCAGCGAAATTAGATCAGTCAAGTATCGAAAAGTATTCTTCTACCTTTTCCGAAATTCAAATTATTCGGCTCAAATTGTGAAGCCTCCATTTGAGACAATGGGATTTATCATCTATTACCATGCAGATTTGAAACATCTCATCATCTAACATGCTCATCTTCCTTTTTTGCTCCCCATGAAAGAGCAACATAAATAAACAAGACCAAAAACACATGCTCCACTTTTTTCTGCAAAAAATGTCCTATCTTCTTCTTCTTTTTTTTGATTTATAACTCTTCTATCGTTCCCTTCATTTTCTTTGAGAAAAAAGAAAAGTCAATCAGGTGCTCAATTGCGTGGAACTCCTTTTTTTAATCTAGAAATCCGAGAAGTCTAGACTAATAAAAATAGGAGTAATTTTTTCAATTAGGGAGGACGCATTTAATCTTTTCCCGATATAGACTTCTGAAAGCCTGATTAGTATTGACCCAAAAAATTTCTGAGAGCGTCATCAAAAAATGACTCCAGTCTTTTTTGAGTTGATAATCGAATTAGGAGGAGAGCGAGTCTCTTATTTACATTTATTTTTTTATAATACATTTTTTTACTAGAAAATAGAGAAGTTGTGACACTCATATGATGAACCCGATGTTTGCTGTTAATTTTTAAGCATTTGAATTTGGGATTTTTTGGAATTTCCACCCAATTGTCGCTTTTCCTCATAATTGTATAATTTTCAGAATATGTAAAGTTTAGAGTCAAAGTATATACTTAGAAGTCATAAAAATTATTGTATATGATTTACTGATTCGCTTTTTTTTTGAGAATTCGTGAATTTCAATCTGCTGTGATATTCTGTTGCTCTCCAATAAGAAAGGGCGTGGCAAAGTTTTAGGCCGATGGAAAAACGGATAAATTGGAAGTGAGAGAGTACAATCTCAGTGCAATATAGTGAGAGACCCAGAGAAAATGTTTTAATTATCACGCCTTCCAGCTGACAAGTCCCTTCTTATTAGAGCGCAACTGCATATTACAGAAGTTCAATCCATGTGGATCTATGCTTTTTTTCCTGAGCATGAAAATATTTTTTGTGACTGATCTAACGTATCCGAAATTTCCAGATCAAAACACATTTTCTAGCATAGTTTGTCATTAAAAAATCAGCTGTAAAGTTCTCAGCCTATTTTTTACCTTTATAGCCACATCATCAGTCTCGAAATTACCGATAAACCTCAATTTTTGTTTCGTAAAAGTGAGGTTCGTTTTAAATGTTTTGGACTACCGTAGAACCTGTAATAGAAGGTCCCCCACACTGTCAAATTTCAGCTTATTGCTTGTCTCTTATGCAAGCTATCAATAATGTGTCAACTGATAAAATGTTTCTGATATTAAGTTAAGCAATTTATCATTTGACAACTTTTCGATATCTTTGACAAGAACTTAGAAAATTTGGCTCAAAGTTGAAAAAGTTGAGGGGAGGGTGATTCTATTACAAGGCTTACGGTAAGCTACACTTGGTCAATTTTTTTGGCCGACAAATTATACCTTTTTCCAAAAATCAAAACCTAGAATACATTTTGTTCAACTCCACTTTTTCAGCTTTCCCTCTATCTATTATTCATCCTTCCCAAAAATCTTATTATCCAAAAATTTTTCTATGCCTCATCCCTCTTTTTTCATTCCTCCATTACCATGTTCCTTGTATTCCCTCCAGTAAAAAATAGAACATCATTCGTCACACTCAATCCAAAACACGAAAAAATGGAAATCCAGGCGTCAAAAATTAGTCAGCCAGATATCTTATATTTCTCTTATCACCTTCTCGAATTTCGTATTTTAGTTCGAATGGAGAAAAATATTTTTCGAGAGCTCAAATTACATCTTTTCTTCTTGAAAAATACATTTTTAGGATCTTAATTTTTTTCCCAAAAAAATTTAAGTTTCTTATATACATAGGTTACTATTTCTGACAATGAGTCAGAAAGCTACAATTTCCCTAAAATACAAAAGTCCTATTTTTCTTTCTAATCTTCTACTTCTTCACCTCTTCCGTTTTTTCTTTCATTTTTTAGAAGAAGAGAAAAAATAAGAAGGAGCACAGACAATTTCCGATCCATGAATACTAACGAGCCGCCTGATTCATTGTCCCACTTTCAGATATTTTTTCTCCACTTTTCCATTTTTGGTGTCAATTCTTGTTCTGTTTTTTAGGGATGAGCAGATGGATCTAGGACTTTTCTAGTCTCTAATTTTCTAAAAAATGTCTCGATTTTTTTAAAAGTTTAAATTACCGTATTTCAATTATATCGATTTCTGTGTAAGATATCAAAAGTTTGTTAACTGATAAAATATTTGTGACAATGTGATCAATATTTTATCAGTTTACACATTTTTGATATCTTTTATAGGAATCGAGATAATTGAGTACAAAGTTCGGGTGGGGTTCCATTAGAGGAAATACGGTAGTTTTTTCCGATGACTAAAAAAAACCGTTTTTCCTTAAATTTTGAGATTCAAACTAACATCTCACCTCAAAAGTTATTTTTCCAGATTCTTTATATTGTAGAATTAAAAAAAAACTGACACCTGAAAAATTTCGCAGGCTGCCTTCGACTCGATTTACAAGGCTCCGCCCCAAAATCGGTATACTATACTGAAAAAATTCATTTCTGTGAGTTCAATGATTTTCTGAACCGAATTTCGATTTGTTGGTATGACAAAAAATCGCTAACTTTTCTAGAATCTATTTTTTTTTCGAAAAACTGAACTTCATTGTGGAAGTGGTCCAAACAAAGCAAAAGTCTGAAATATTACGATTTTGCCACACTTTTTTGTAGAACAAAAAAGCGCCGATTTTCAGATCATCAGGTGTTAGTTTTTTATTAATTTGACAATAACAGCATTCAAATTTTCAACCCCATCCCCTATGCCCTAATAAAAAAGTTTAGTTTCTAATAAAAATTCAAGTCTAAAGTTCATCGTCGCATTTCGAAACTCTTCCGTCCACTCCCAAAAAAGTGGTAGTCCTTCTCATTCTTTCTCCCCAATAGCCACCAATTCATTCATAACTTTCTCCTGTTTCCGTTTCCCCTTTGTCCCCCTTATTCATCCAATTTCTACACATGTCTACCGAGAGCAACCTTTGTCCCGAGAAACTTTTCTCAGACCAAAACTATTTTTGATTTTTTGACCCCCACCGAATTTTTTTTTCACTTTCTAAGCACCTAATAAGTCATGGGTCTCTCTCTCTCTCTCTCTCTCTCTCTCTCTCTCTTTTTTTTTTTTTTTCAAAAACTTTTAGTGAAAAAAACTTTTTTCCCCGAGAAATTAGATCAGAAAGCTTCTCGGAGCATAATACAAAAACGGGCGGAGCATAATGGTGAAAAGTGGATTTATGTTTACTTTTTTGTTGTGAAACGGGCGGGACCACATGATCCCCATGTAAGTCCCCATTTTCAAAGAAAAAAGTTTCCAGAATAGGACATGTTTATTTTAGTTGTCTCTATAAACATTTCAAGAAAACTTTCTTTGACACTTTCTGTTAAACTTTGGTCAAGCTGATTTTGCCCGATTGGGCCCTTGACCTTTAACTTTGAGCCAATTCACCTCGCTTCCTATCAAAGATATCAAGAAAAATTTAACTGATAAAATGTTTATCATAATATCACAAAAATTTTATCAGTTGACAAACATTTGTTATCTCTGACAGGAACCGAGATAATTGAGCTCAAACTTGTCAGTGTGGATGCTCTTCTATTGGAGGTTTTACGCGACTTTTATTTTTGAAAAGCTCTAGGTGACGCTTTTTTAAACACATAATTCATTAGTGTCTGGGACCGCCCACA